CACAAATAATAATTAGCTCAAATTATTCCTAACAATGATGTAATTCTATTTATTTTTGACGCGGAATCTGGTATATTTTTCTAGGTTATTATATAGATCCCTATGAGCGACGTCATTAATTGATCAAATAAATACACAGAAATGTTGCAGAGAATAAAAAATATAATCCCCTTGGATCAGACACAGGAACCTTTAAATTCTATCAAACCGCTAATATTAGCAACTGACGCTTCACCTGATGGTATATAAGCCGTTCTCTTACCAAAGTATCCTAACGCATCGGTAAAGTCCATTTCCCTCTACTCGCAAACACAAAACGAAGCCGAGCAGCATTACTTCTAGTATGATAAAGAACCTTTGGCTATCAAAGAGGAGTAAAAAAGTTACGTTAGTTGTTGATAATAAGCCATCGATGCCACTTTTAATTCCGGACAGAGTTATATTACACCACCAGTATTACAAAGATACGAAATCTTTTCGTCGCAGTTTAGCTTTAGCATCACATACAGCTTAACAAACAAAAACGGAAATGTTTATTCCCTGTCGAAGTTGCCACAAAAAAAAAAAGAAATCAGCACGGCAAGAAATAATAAAACAGCGTTTTTTATTCCAACTATCTTAGCTTGAAACCAATAGATTGGGAACAAGTGAAGGCAGTCGACTCTGAAGGCGGAGAGGCACAAGTCCTGTGTAGTTATCTTTAATGACACAGAAAATAATAATTGCACTTTAGAATTTCTTTTTCTGAATTCTCTGGTGGCAATAAGGTTAGTAAGAGGAGAGAATTTATATCCCGAAAGTATTATAAAACTAAGTTCTTGAGGAAAAATACATATTGGCCATTTGGGAGTTAATAAAATGCGTTCTGTAACAAGATGCCATGTTCGATGGTCAGCACTTGACAAGAATTTTTAAAAAAACACCATGAATCATAAGAAAAACATGACAAATATATCAAAAAGGGTATCAATGTTCGACAACAGTTCTTGAATCACATTGGTTTTGCGGGACCTTTAGTAGTTGTAGTAGTTGTTGAAGATTTTGGTAAGCGAATTCGCAATGCGCAGACATTAGAAAATATTCTTCGGATATGGATTTTCCAAAAATCTTATTTCTTATAATGGCCGATAATATGTCAATGTCAAATTTGAAGGATTCCTAAAGAGAGGATTGATTTAACAGAAATTAAATGCTCCTTATTATCCCCGTACCAGTAGGGTCATTGAGATAACCGTTTGAAGTGTCAAAAAACATTTCGAGAAGTTGATACAAGGGCAAAGATTATGCATTGAGGCCCTTGATGCGTATTTATAGCTTACCAAATAGAAACACAGGTTGTTCACCAACTGAAGTACAATTAGGAAGTAGGGTAACAACGAAGCACACTATCACTTTGAAGAGAGATAGGTAAAAGGAAGGGTAGACGTGTAAAACATAGAACTAGAATGAAGTAGCTTACAGAATATACAAGAATCTTAACTGGCGGCGGAATACCTAGACCTAAAACCCAGGAACATATTAATAATTTATGGAAATTTAACCGTAAAACATCAGCTTTGTTAAATCCGTGAAATTGGAAAGACAGCAAATTTTAAGGGCGCCGGAATATTACTGCCAATAGTCATATTTGCTCTCAACAAAGTAATACGATCTGAAAAATCATAAAATCCAGTGTGAAGACGGAGACACGACGTTAGCCATTAGGTTCCCGGCAAAGAGATAAATCAAGAGATCAATGAAGCACCAGACAGAAGCATACCTCCTGTTTGATTTAAACCGTCGATACCTATAGATGTAGGAGGAAAATAAAACCCAGGAAATATTGGATGCTATGAAACAATATATATATATATATATATATATATATATATATATATATATATATATATATATATAATACAACAAAGGCAATCTAAAATTTAAAAACAATAATGTGTTTTTACGTGAGCAAAAATAACCAAAATTACGATGAAGTGTTAAGGTACTTTAACCATTTTAACCCTCACTTCTCGATGATTGTCATAGTTTAGGAGTTTTAGAGGGTGGCGACAACTATTCAAAGCAGCAACCTACGATAGCTTGTGGGCTTTTTAATGTATTGAAGGCTAAAAAGACTGTGGGCAATGCAGTCGCATATCTCACACATGTAAATAAGCATATAAGCCTAACTTCGATATATACATATTTATATATGTCCAGTTAAACTTTGGAGGTTTAATGGGAGAAACAACCATCGGCTTAAAAGATGTTCCATAGTTTTTAGACAAAGAAAAAGAAGGCCGATTTCCTTGCTACTTTCTCCTAATCAAAAGCCTAATTCAACTTCTGTATCAATCTTTGTGATAAACGGCTACAATCTTTGTTTGGAACGACAATTTAATTTTTAAGTTTCATTTGCTGAAGGCGCAAAACCTCAGGGATATACATTCTTAGCTGTTATACTTAGGCTGTTAGGTATTACTTCGTAACTGAACTTCTTCCAACAGACGTATGTAATAGCATGATAATGATATGCCAAGATCACCATTTGTCAAAACTAAAATTTGCACCAACGATTGCTCTATCTTATAACAGTGCACTTAAAGGAATACGCCTTCACTGCTTAGGCTACAATAAAGAAACGCATCTTAGATTACGCTGTCTCTAAGAAATATACTTAAATATCTTAAAGAATGTGACGTAACTTTTTCAAAGGCAATATAAATTGCTGGAAAAAAGTTTTGTTTTATCTGTGTACCTTATAACTAAATAAATGTGTTCTATCCTTATATCTGTATTCATGACCGTGCATAAAAGCATTATAAAGCGGCTTCAGTTCTTAAAAGAAAATCGATGTCGGTTATTATCTTGAACTTAATATGTGCATTTATTTTGGAAAACTTGCTTGAGAAAGAGGCTTTGCGTGTGATGAAAAGCATGATTTAGTAATCATATTTTTTGCCCCAATAGCACCCAACAGTACGCGGCAGCGCCTCAAAGTGAGAGCAATAATTTAAGGCTACAGTAAGAGTAAATAGGTGACGTTTTCTCTGCAACGCACACCGAATCACCGCTTTTTCTTCGTTCGGCGCGATAAGCAAGTTTGAAATTTTCCTTACATACGTGTAAATACTTATGTAAGAAATTTGGAATTAAAAAATTTGGCACAGAGTACCAAGGGCAGCCAAGGGCAACTAATAAAGTATGTACATCGACAAAAAATTATGTTTGATTTTCCAGTCTTATAATAATTATAGCACTACAACTGATTTTTTTATGGTGCATATCACTTCATCATCATCCGATTCTGTATTGTGATCCGGTCAATATTTGGGTATTGTTTTTAAATTAATTCCTTACATTTGTGTTTTAAATTCTGCTTTAAAAAGAGAAATTATACGTTTTATTTCGTCTGCACACAGTTGTGGTAAGGTTCACTCGTAAACCATGTCCTAACTTGTTTATGATTTTGCGATCTGACCTCAGCGGTGATTACTTCCAGACGCAGTTTTGAGCTAGTAGCAACTGCAGAGCCCGAAATTTTTGTAGTAAAACACCATTGCTTCAGTATCATATGCCGATAAGCCTAAGGGAAACCGAAGTTAAAAACGATTGCTGAAGAACGTGTGCCAAGAGAGAAAGGCAGCAAGCTGTATAAAAGAACGCAAGCGCGGGCGTCTCAGTCAAATTATGAAGAGCCAAGGATTTTTAAGAATTCTAAAGAAATGTTAACTAAATGGATTTATTACACTTGCAATGTAAAACATCGCTACAAAAAGGAGCCCGTATTTGTTTCTTCGTATGCATTGATATGCTGGTGTGCTGTTTGTGCATGAAAACGTACGATCATTTAAAACAAGGAAAGTAAATAGGAGTAAATTTCCGTGCCTTGTAAATGCTCCTAAATTTAAGTGTTCAGAAAAGTTTCAAATTGATTGCCTTGTTAGCTTATATCTTTCAACTAAATCGACACTAGGATATCGTTGAAGTGTTGTTGGAAACCTGAGATTTATGTAGGAATAGGTGCGTAATTTGGAGTTCCAGTTAATAAATTAAATCATTTTTTATAAACTAATGTAGAATAGTTATAAATATCTTAAACAGAAGCAGCTTTCGATCATTATATGTACGTACACGCATTTGACGCAAAATCGATTGATACTACATCAATCAAAAATATTTTTTAGCTTTTTCTCAAAACTTCTACTTCTTTTAGTCATTGGAAGTTGACGGTAACTTAAAGTAAAGAACTAAAGAATATGCAAAGTTGAAAAATTGATATCACGTTCTGACTTCTTGCTTAGAACAGTATGTACTGTACTTGTTCAAACTTCAACATACACACTTTTTCAGACTGTCAGCGATAATGATTTGCTGCACCTTACTAACGAAGTCATAAACTTTCATGTTAAGATTTGAATGATATATATATATATATATATATATTTTTTTTTTTAGAAGCCTTGTATCGCGTTTCCACAAGGTGTTACATAATTACAATAAATACATCATTACATAATTTGAAGTTTGCGACTATTGGAATAACGAGAAGCAAGAAAAACGAATCCGATTTTCTCGGTATTTGCTATGCTCCGGCCCAATTAAAATGTCATTTTAATATGGGAATCATGTGGCTTACACATTACCTTTTTATATATAACAAAGGTTAAGAAAATGTTCTGCCGGGCACAGTGTTAAATATCGCGTTCTGCCGTGCGATGTTTGGTACACACCCTATGTTTGATTTATAAAAGCAACAAGGTTTGGGAAATGTTCCACGGTCAACCTAACATAAATTCCATGTTCATGAACGTATGGCTTTTACCAAAACCAACCAGTTCTCTCTAATTGTTAACAAAGCAGGTAGGTTAGTCTTTATTCAGTTAATAGGACTAAATCTTGCAAGAATAAGACATCTAAAAATAAATAGAAAAGGAGCAGAGCAGTTTTTGAGGTTTTAGTTATTTTTTGGAATTTCTATAACAACATAAATAAAAAAAAAAAACTGGTTATAAACTTACCGTCAACTATAAGGTTGCACATAAACGACGCAAAGACGACCATCCAACCGTAGCCGCCATCAGGCGGCTCTACAGCAATTGGTACAGCTCGAAGTTCTTCAGCATTGTTATTCACAGTAGCGCTGCAGTTACTTGTTCGATAAGGAGCATTTCCGGGACCCGGAGCTCCTGAAGCTCCGTTAGCTATTTTACTGAACCCTCCTACACATAAGGTGCCACTGCCGACACCCTCTTCTAGCGAGGACATTGACACAATAGATGTCATTATAATAATAAAGGACACTTAGCTAGTTGGGCTTATAAATCTGTAGTTTGTTTAGTCACTCGGCCCAACCTAGAATATGGGAGCTTCTTGCTGAAACACGGTTCACAACCAACACAAGTATTTAATGCTGAATTGTGATACTCGCATATTCCCACCTGTCGAATCTCCTGTAAGTCACAGACAATAATTCATGCCAATATTAGGAATGCCGAATAGCGGAGTGAGCAGTGTGATCTGCAGTGGAGGTTTTATTAATGAAAATCTTGCAATTCAAATAATATAGCCGATAGTCGCTTACTCGGTTTTTCCATTTACTCTAAACAAAAGAAGTGAAAAGCCATAACTTACAAGTAAGCTCAAGGCGCATCTATTAACTCTTTATTTTTTAAGGCATCCTTTTCAAGTTCTCGATTCGACCCTTTCTATATATAAAAGTAAAATAAAGCAAAATTTGTAAGATTTTTTTCAACATTTAGAATACATCCTATAGAATTCATTGTAACAGTAAAAAATAGTAAAAAATATTTTGACAAAAGATAACTTGATGCAAATAAAACTGGTAAACATGTTAAACACATTTGACAGGCACTGCTACAGCTTTAATTGAACATGTAAGAAAAAATTGTCAAATATAGCCACAGCGAATATTCCACTGTAAATACATTTTGACTTAGCTATTATCGGAAAACAGTTAGTTAATAACAATAAAGATCACCAAATCCTTTAGTACCCTGAAGAGCAATGCACATTTTTCTCACATGTAGTAACTCTATGAATAATATGAACTTTAGGCCCCATAGAAAGGTGGGTATCGAAGTCTCGTAAACTGTAACATTTAGGAGAATTCGACTAGCACCTTGAGTTTTTTACCCTGTAAACTTCATAATTCCTGAGATATATACTGAAAAGTGATTTCATAATCATCCTTTGTATCCTGCAGATCAACCCCGTATTGCTTGAACCATTCACTTCTACCGAAAACTGAAAAAGCTTTCAATTCTATCATGCTGTCTCAATTAATGATACACGTTCATACACCGCCACAGTTATTAAATGAAATACACGCGATCAAAGATTTTATAGTGGTTCGTAGGGGTAGCTGATAGCGGCAGAGCCTCTTCTACCTTTATATTGCTAATTTTTTCCATCTAAGACTTTTATGACATTGAGTATTTTGGTTTAATATATGGAAGCCGTGTCACTTTAATTCAAAAGCTAGAAGAGCCAGTTTGATATGAATATGCCAGATGCAATCCCAAAACTCCTTTACATCTTCGTTTGGGATGCCAGTACCTTTTTTCCTCTTTTTAGTCACAATATCATTATGCGATATTTTTAAATTATAAATGTTTTTTCTTAACGTTCGTAGTCTCGTTAAGTTTTCAGATTATACTAGCGACGGCTATTCTCGCACCTGCTTATATTTTTACACAAGTATGCAGCTAGTAACGCCTGTGCTGTACATGCTCTATTTCGTTAAGTTACTTTTTGTTAGTTACTGTGACCTAAATACATTCAGTGCCAGTTTTAACTTCTGATGATAAGAAACTATCTATTGTAAAAATTGTTCAGTTAGTAGTGTTTCGTTTATAATAATGCCATGTTAGTTATGACGATATTAATAACAGTAAGTATATTTGGTGTTTGCGGTAAATAAGGGCGGTACAAATGTATTGGCTTTCACATTAATGTTGGTTTATGCAAGGGTTACTAACGCTTACGACCTGGCCTGGAAAAAAATTAAAATCACTGTCAGCTGGTATCTGTCATTATAAATACACACATTCTTATTCTTAGAAATATGAGCAGAAAATCCGTACTTCGAAAAGGTATGAATTGCCATCAATATGTAAGTTTGCTTTAAAGGATGTTTTTAAATTTAAAATTTAAAAACATTCGAAGTTAGTAGTCGTTGTGTAATGCGCAAATCTAGTTCAGAAAGATTTACTCTGTCCGGAAGCTATGAACTGGTGAAAGATAAGTCCTGAATCAAGATAACAAAGTGTCCTGTTGAGTTTGAAGATGAACAAACAGAGAAAGAAGTAACGGATTGTTGAACTTAGTAAAGAGTCTCTTTTGACTTTATCCCCAAAGCCAATCAACGAAACTATCTAGATGTGTTTATCTAAAAGAGCTAAAGAAGTAAGACTGTAAGACACAGAAAAAATGTAACAGTTATTTTCGATAGAGGAATATCGATTTCTATTGTGAACAAGAAGCTTGTATATATTCAAAAAACTTTTAGCAAAAAGTTTGACTTGTAGAACACGGCCTGTGCACTAAATAAACGCACAAACGTCTGCTTCCAGCTGGGTTGACTTAAAAGCCGCGTCACATGGATTGCACTGAAAAATATATACTGTCAAAGGCTAAACACATTTTTGTTATTTGTATGAGTAAAGGGGTGTCTCTAATTTAGAATCTGGTGGGGTATTTATTGCTGGAGCGCTTCAAAGGAAGTTCCTTTTGAGGCACGTCGCATTTCAAACGCCACTATATTAATGCATTTCTTTTCGATCTATTGACTACGATTTAACAACGTAGAATACGCGGCTATGCAAGTTTTAATATATTTTTAAAAAAACCTCGTCCTATCGAATAAAAGTCTGTAATCGGTATAGGACTCACAATCACCAAACTATAATTTTATCTGGCTGTTTTTTCAGGTCAGAGTTAACCTGTTCATGTTATCTCTTGAATGTTACCCGTAGGAAATATTAAGCTGCTACATTGAAGTCTTATAAACGTTTTGTAGATGAGGTAATTAATCCAGAAAGACAACGTTACGATGAATTTATTAGGATGAGTATGTATCGTTAAGAGTGAGGTGGTAACGTTGAACAAATGCGTCAGCTGTCATCAACATGGTGGGTTGCAGGTTCAGGCAGGAAGTATCACACGACTGTGCTAATCTGTTACAGTAATATGTTTATATCACATGACCTCAACAAATAATGGAAAAATGTTTATTTTCAAACCTTTTAATATGACAGTAGATTCTGATCTAGATTAACCAATCTAGTGTTTTATGAACTGTAGGAGTTTAACCAATAATTAAGTGTTGGCTAACTTGATTTGGATTAATATTGGTGAGCGCAGAGAAGTAACGTTTTATTATAGATACGTTGGCTGAGTATTTTTGATATTGAGAAGTTAAGTACATATATCCTAAAGCATGTTGTCAGCTTCATCTGCATTTTTTACTATGTACTTATATTAATCAATTCCTGTAAAATAGTATACCTTGTTTTATACGTTTACTATTAATATTTTCCCACTAACCTAGCTACCTCTTTAATCGCCGCCTATCACCGCAACTTAGTGATTCAATTTGTTTGTAGTAGAACTTAAGAACAATTGAGTTTCCTGCCAATAGTCCAACAGCGTAATTTAAATTAGTTATGGGTTAGAAGAGAACTTGCCTCGGACAGTTTTTCATCAGATCGGCTTAGACTCTAAAAGTATACATAAACGTTTAATTGATTATAACTTGTTTTTTGTTCCGCTCGATAGAAGTGAGTCGAAAAAAGGATGTCGACAAAAGGCCCGATGACTACCATATTTAGTCATTGTACTTCTGGTTATAACAGTATTTTTCGTATATTCTTAACATTCTCTTACTGCGTAAAGTTTGTGATTTACATTACGCCACAAGGAATATTACGTGGGACGGACAGTGAATCTTCTAACGTTAGACAAGCGTGGTGCGCACTATGAATTGATAGCATTCGAACTACGAAAATGTTGTATTTAATAAGATTAGGATTTTCACTAAAATATCTTGGAGTAAAATTGAAAAATCTCTGTACCTTCTATGAATACTGCACTATATAATTTAATCTGGTAATGAAGTAGTTGAATGTTTGGTGCGACCTGTGTTTTTCTTGATAAGCTTGAAGTTGTTTCATTATACTTTCCAAATTCCTGCTATTGGTGCGTCGTGGTCTTTCATACAACTGGAGAAAACAATCAAGATGTAAGCGGTAGAAGCAGCCCATAGTAACATCTGCTATCATTGCCAATAAACGCGGATACTGTGACAGAGTGAATCAACAGGAGCTGTGGGTCAAATTTTTCAATCTAAGGATCAAATCGACTGCGACTTACGCTGTCTCAATCATCTGTAAGAAGTTATGCATTCGAAACATAACAATAAAAGACAGAATTAAATCAACGTTCTTAAAACTAACACTCAATTTCACACTTCAACCCAAAACCGCCAACTTTTTTGAGTGATATTTCACCGCTTGTTAAAGATATCTGCAAAATGTTCGACTTGTACTAAGCGGCATCATAGCATGTCCAAACGCAGGATAAAAAAATAGAAGCGGATCTATGATTCTTTACGACCTCAGCAGTGATGATGTCTGGAAACCGTATTAATCAGGATGATTGATACATAGCAATCAAGGCCGTAGATTTCATCATATGTTTTGTGAGATACAAGCGTACTTTGACAGGAATAAAACTGTGTATAAATATAAATATTGGAAAATTGGGTGCTGTAGATCTAACATTAATGGACCAGCTCACTTCAAATCTTTAGCCTTTTAAGGTAAAATAAGCACTTTGTAACTTTAGTATTATAGGTGTCTTCATACTCAATTTATTATGTGTATTTACATGAGCTGTGTGGAAGAAATATAACTAATTGCTTAGCATGCTTAAAGCCATCTAAACTCCACTGGCCCGCTTGTGGAACTACTTTTGTGAAACCTGGCTTACAACAGCATGTTTTAAATACCTATACCGGAAAGGGTTATCTCTGCTAGATCCAAAACGGAACCAGAGGTTTAAGCAGCCATAACCGTGGCTAAGGTGGCGAACTGGGTAAATGTTAGCAGCTGGAGCTAGCAGATAGATTGAGAACGGCCATATGACTCATTAAATGGAAGAAGTGTATCAAGGTGCAGATCTTAACATGAACATGAAAAGTCACCCACTTGAAACAAGGGAGGGAGCATGATGTGTAGTAATCGGTGAAAAAAGCGGCTAGCGGCGTAGGACCTCAGCAATCTGGGATGGAAAACTAGCTTTTAAAGCGCTATAAAGCACTCCGACTGCTGTGCGACGATCCCTGATAGAGCAGTACCATGGGACATCGCAGGAGAAGAATGTTGAAAATGTGTATGAATCAAACGTTTACATGGAAGAAGGTAGAATAAATACCCTCTAAGTTGCTAGAAATGCTCAGGTGCAGCATCGCTCCCTGAACAAGGAAACTGATTCCGGAAATCAAAATGTGGTACGGGAGGAACTGCAGAGATGTGTGTACTACTTACGTAAATCTTTACAGGTTATCAGTATACTCATAGAATAGGAGAAGTGCTTAATAACTCGTACTCCACTTGCGACGCTGCTGTATGAGATAAAACACGTTTAACCGTAATGTCATTGGCCTAACGGTACTTGCTGGTATGATGCAGCGCACAGCGTGGTTGTCCCTGTGATATTGCAATGGTAATATGTATGTATCTGCTAAACACGTAATGGTACAAATTTAAAACCGAGTCTAGACGCACTTCTCTTCACGCGAGGAACCATCCGTGTGAAACAATGCCTAATAGCTTATAAAACTCAAAACTATTTAGTACACAGCATAGCATGGTGACCAATATTTAGACTTTAATGTGGATATTCAATGGAGATGAAGCCAAGCATTTGGCGATTCCCGCAGTAGCATTTGAGTTGCGGAATGCTTCAGCCCAAGGACCAAACGATTCCTACCTTTGCTTCCACTTAGCTTCCCTGGTTCAACAGTCTCTATGTTTCTTTTTAAGGAGTGCGCACTGCACGTATTACATTTTCACCAGTCTAACTGCTCTCCCAAAGGTAAATTGTTAAAGTGTTCTGTCCGAGAGACGAAAAAGTTAGTTACAATTCTTCCACTGCGTGAGGTCTCTTCACGTATAAATGTTATTACTAGTTCTAATGGGATACAGCCGTGTATCCACAGTAACGTGTACCATCTGTATTGATGTGAGTCGAGGAAGATCGTTCGCGTGGCTTGAGTACCTTGCATAAGTTTTCGCTAAACGCATCTAGTGACGTCATACTATACAGAATGATATCTCGTCTCGGAATGATATAATATGTAAACTTACGGATAACTAGATTTTTATACAATTATGTATGTAACCTTTGCAGATGTTTCGTGCGGCTAAAATCCGCGCTAATAAACGTTGCGAGCGCACAAGATAAAACGTCTTATTACTGTAAATATGTGGGATGTTTAGCAATACTACTTATGTATTTTTTTTGTAAAGCTTAGGAAGCTCTGGAAGTTTGCCTATAAGACGAACCATTTTCCGTTCTCAGCACGAAAGGACTTATGAGTCTCCCATCATCTGTCAAAAGATTAGTTGCTGACTTTGCGTGAAGTCATTATCTTAGCTTAGATAGGTTTTGCATCTATAAAAATAACTTCTTCAAAAATTTAACATCCTTTATTCACACGAAGCTTGTGCATAGATTTCGCGTTGGGTAGATTATAAACTCACATGGAAGCATACTTTTGTATGTTTACATATCACATAAATAATCGAGAGAAGGACTATATTCATCTGTTTATGCGTCGTGTATAAATGTTGATACGTTCAGTTCTCGCAATGGCTTTAGGTGAATCAAACGTATACCCCTCAGATTATTTAGTCTAAGAAAGAAAGAGTATTTAGTAAAGTTGATTTGTTTGCAATTATTCCAGAGTTAAAGATTATGAAAGCCTATGGGCATAGTAGTTTGATTTGTGAAACCTGATGCTGGCACTCTTTGACATAACTTAGGTGCCGTAGCATGGAGAAGCTCAATACTGCTTTTGACAAATATGGAAATTTATACATTTTTATTATATTTTTTAAAAGTAGAAAGGTTGCATCGGATTTCTCAAAAATTTAGCTTGAGATTTGTACTTCTAGAATACTTTTTGCGGTTGTTATATCTGAACTTTTTCCTCCATTACTGGTTTTCTAGACAGCCTCTTATCCTTTTAAAAATACGTATTCCTGAAAGATTCAGGTAATCGTAAATAATAATAGTAGATAGTGGTTCTCAGATAATCCCTTTTCAGATAATTCATTTTGGTGTTTTTAGGCATGGTTTTAAATAGAATTTTCAACTTAGGTTGCCAAGATACGTTGAAGCACTCCAAAGTTGAGGCATCAAGTTCTTAATAGCTTTGTGGATAGACTCACTTCTACATAGCCAATTTTGTATATTTATGTACAGTTAGTTACTACGTCTTGTTAGTACGTCGGCCTTGTAACTGCCTATGTACCTAATCTATCTACAAAACTGCACCAAAATATAACCTAGCTATTTTAACATGTGTTATGTATATGCGCGAACTCGAATTCACCAGATTTGAAATAAAGATATTCCTACGGTGGCTGAGCCACCTCCACATTTCACTAAGGTAAAAGGGCGTAAAATACCTTAGATTTTTTTCTTAAAATATAAGTGTCTGTACATTTTATTGTTTCATGAGCCTAATTCGTGTGTTAAACATTCAGTGAAAACACGTTTTCTTCTTCTTTCTCTCTTTGTGTTAATTTTCATATACAAGTATAACATCATGACTATATATAGTTTCCCTATTGTGCGAGTAAATAAGAAGCCATAGTTGCTTACCTTAACGAATCGGTTATGTGATAAGTCTTTTAAGTGATAAGAAATGCAATTTTATATGAGGCTTTAAATATGCGTGTACTCAACGCTGGCTGTTTTTGCCTTCACTATTTATCCCCAGGTTATATAACTTGGGGATAAAAGGACAACGGAGGTGACGTTCGTTTTGTTATTATTATTAGTTATTGTTTTTTGTATGATTAGCTCGGGCGACCTTTTCAAGCGCTAACAAATACCAAGAGGTTTGCGATTCCCATTTTGTTAGCATATTATCTAATAGCTGCCCTCTTATACAAATAAGAAGCAAACTTCCGTAATAAAATATACGCGTATGGCTAAGAGTAAAACATGACATTGCTAATCATCCACAATGTGAAAAAAACGTTAGCGCTAATAAGTTCTTTCTTAAACAGGAACAGTCGTAGATTTGCTAGATGGTAAATTATGAAGGGCCACTTAGTGAAAGGTCAAGTCACAATGAAAGATGTGACATTAAGCTTTTCTGTGATGGTCTGCACGAAACAGCTCGATCCATCAGTTTTATATTTTTCGTAATTATTTAAAATTTTTAAAAATAAGAAGCCGACTGCTTTTGTAAAACACAGACAAAGCGGAAAGTGCTAAAAGACATAAGACATGGTATACTATACCTGTACACATATATTTTTTTATTTTTAGATATTATAAATTAAAATTGAACATCTATAAGTAATTTCTACGGTAGATGGATAATAAATATAGAAGGGCCTTTTGTGTGTAAATTAATTACTCAAGTCAGTTTAATTTCTTAAAGTCTATTTGATAATATATGTATCCTGCATGATCTTTATGTTCATATCTGTCGGATAGTATACCTATGTAGTCAGGTACTTCATTGCTTGAGCTGCCTCACAAATGCATTAAAACTTTCGGCGAGCACTTTAGCTCATATTAAAGCTGGGTGAGGGCATGTGTATGAACAAGCGTAATAATAAACTTTTAATATTAAATGTTTAAAACTGTACCTTTTGTATTGATCAGGAAGAGCTGCTATCCCCTTTGACAGGTCGCGTAACTGCGGTACCTCTATGCGTGCAGTTTGGACAAGTATTTCTCTGCACTTCACAACTGTATGCGTTGCCAACGTTCCTGTCCGTGATATAAATAAGTCTCTACGTTTCAGTCTTGATTTAAATCTCTGTTTGCATGTGATGTAAATGCCTTATCTGTTTTGTTTCACGTGACAGGCCTACATGAGACAAAACATCATTTCAATAAGATTAAGTTTGTTGGTCTGAGTTTGATATTATATAAGCACGGTTAGGTGAGCCTCTGACTAGCTTACATGTATCAAACGGCAAAATTTTATAAAAAGGACGCGTGTGATATATGATTTGGAATCACTGATGGTAGATCAGAACGATCGACGAATGGCCAGCGGGCGGCGGCTGAAACCGCTTCCGACCACCGCGTTCCGCTCTCACTTGCTCCGCCGGTTAATAACCTAGTGTTGAGCCGAACCAACAAAATTCCATCAAGCCGCTCTGCTTAGTAGAATGCGATGAAGGCAGAAACTTAGTTTGCTTTCTTATCTACAGACTGGAATTTTCCTGCATTGGACCTTCGGCCTATGTAGGCAATCACCACCTATTTTTCATCTTTTGCGAATCATCGGCGTACCGAATATTCTCTTTTGCCGCTGACCATGCGAAGGTACCTTTATACAATCCCTAAAACGTAATTACATACACAGAACATAATACTGCCGTAGCTTTAGAATCGAGCCGATCTTGACGACGGACATTTTTAATCACAGTGATTCAAAAGCAGAAGGTGGTTTGAACTGATAGCGTCCATTCAGAGTGAAAAGCAGAGGGAGTACGAATGCGGTTCATCTCATGGTGAAATCACTGATCACTTTTGAGCAATGGCATAGTTCGTAAACCGTACATCAGGCCTGAGGAAGGTTGTTGTATTACTATGATGATCACAGCCACAGTTATTGACACCGATTAACGCACTATTACCAAGAAACAAAACCTGCTGCCTTCTCAGCTGGTCTGTTGACCTCAACCCTCTCTGGCATTGCCGGCCTCTGCCTTGCTCGTTCGCGCTGCCCTATAGGAGGAGCCTGTCATAGGCAGCTGTAGGCTGTGGTTGCTACCCACTGTGGTAAACTCCTTTCTCCTTCCGTCGCGAGCCGACGACTCTACTACCCTCTCTCACTCGCGCTTGCACTCCTCGGCTCTTGCTAGTCTTAGACTCTTGACTGTCGCCTCTATTCCACTGGGTTACCATCAACATGGTTACTGGGGCATGAGTAAGTGCTACGCACACTCACCAACGAACGGTTAGGTATACCAAGTGGCTCCACCTGACGATGGTCTCTGCAACTACTCTTTAAAATACGGTCCTATAACAAGCACGAGTGTTTTTAAAAGAAAATTACAGCGTATACGCTGACGAAAATTTTCCGTTCCACCTACAAAATGACGAAGGTTCAAATTTCATAAGGCGACTTTGAAACGATATTTTCGGATCTCATTTCCATATGTTGCAATGACAAACATACCTCCGTCTCCTAGGGGCATTGAAGCAGCAGCTTCCTTCTCAGATTACTAACGATGCCATTCGCACATTTAACAGCTCAATATCTGATAGGGACATGATAATACATACGGCCATAGTAGTGGTCGTTGTTTGTAAATCTATGATAAGTATAGTTGAAGTGCCACCCAATAGCCCTGTAACTGCCGCAAGATTTATCACTATATATATAGAGTAGAAGAACTTCGGCTTTTGGCTAACTTTTTCAACGTGCAAGTATGGAAGCAACATAAAATTAAGTAGGTTCAAATGTGGGAGAAAAATATTCTACAGCAAGGCGATTTCATTTATATCAATGATCGTCCTCTACAAATACTTAGTTGCGTATTCAAACGACTGACACGTCACGTTTAAATAATTTTTTGGCTATTTTAAATAAACTAGCTTATAGTATTAATGTATGTGTGTGTGTATTTAGTGGGTGAACATTTCATGGAATGCCGTCAGAAAAAAATTAGTTCCAAGGTGAGATACCTTTTGATGCTAAAAACCGGCACCCATGATTAAGTCTCTATTTCTCAGAAGTGAGAACGCCAATGGAATTTACCAAAAATTAAAAAGGACACTGGGCAAGGAGGCCTTTGACAAAACAACAGTTCATTACTAATATTTTAGATCTTTATTAAGCTTTGAGAACGCATGTTGCAAGCTTGGAAATCACAGAAGAGGTGGCAGCACCTTGTGATTTTTAACACAAAAAACGTGTAGCACATCGTCACCATAAAGGAAACGTGAATTAGTCACTGCCACCCACCAAAGAAGGATCAGGCGAAACAATGGAAAGCGAGAAAGAAAAAGATTTTGATGGCAGGGAGGAATGGATTCGAACGATCTTGATGATCGCACTCGCCACGAACACCAAAAGCATTTATTCTTGTTAAAGGGAGACGACTAATGCTGCTATTAGGAGCTTTTGTTATTAGACATGCTGCCTAAAAAGAAAGCTGTCGGTGTTACTAAATATCGAATTTCTGAAAAGCCTCATAAACGTACAGTGTGGCAATCGATGCGATGTGGTTACTTTACGACAACGCTCGACCCCATCGATAGGCTTTAATATGAGATAATATAAGAAGAGTATGAGGTCGAAGTTATTGCTCAATTGTGTTGTCTTCGATCTTAGGCCTAAACCGACGAAAAAATAATCAAGCAAGTATTTTAGTCCATATGTTCTTTAGTTTTAAGTCCGTGTTATCTCAGTTGCTTCCAGGCGGTGAAGAAAGCAATATTTCGCGCAGCGTAGCCTATCGCCAACTTTCTCTGTAAAAATGAGATTGAAATATGGTAATTAAAATCACATGTACACAGTTTTTAAAAAAATCGTAAAGCCTTGGTTTTACCATGCAAACAGTAAAGGGGAGCACATCTATTATATATCAGAATGTCGTCATTATTCAAGATTTTTGGTTCGCTAAACTGTAGCGAAAACAAGTAGGTCGTAGTTATCAGCGATCGACTTTATTATTTCTTGCGTTATCGCTTGTTACTGTTATATAATATTTTAATATAAACGTGTTTAATACAAGAAAAGATAAAACAAAGGTAGTTTTCTTGCAATTGTAACCAAAATGTGGTTGCTACTTTAATATTATTTTTCAAATTTCAAGCTAAAAGTGCAAAAATAATGATTAAAGGTGAAAGTTGCTGATGTTTTGTTCAAACAAGCTGATAAAGAAATTATTTTTTTAATATATAATTCATCTTTACTAGTATATATTGTATAGGGTGCTGTTCCTAAGACTAATATGTCAACGAAGCAGGAACAATAATACTTGAATCGCGCAGCAGACAGTTTAAAGTATGTGCACCAGCAGCATTGCACAAGTAACGAATGAAAGGTACACGAAGATATTGATGCTAATTTTTGTGATGGTGCAGTGGTAATGCATTTTCCTACTGCACTTAGGAATACTTGAGGTTGTTTAGATTCGAAACAAGACCGAGCCGCGGAACAAAAGCTCACAGAAGCAATAGGCGTTGGTCTCTGCGGCTTTGCTCATTACACCTGCAAAATGGCTGAATAAGGCACCGAAGACAACAGCTGGCCAGAAAGCTACTGATTGAAAAAGAAACACTAAAAAGAATAGCAATCATGAATAAAAAAAATACTACTTCTCCGTGCAAGGTTTGATTTGAATTAATATTTGAATCAACTCTCAACCAAGGCTCAGCCATGCAGCGTCCAGCGTTTAGTAGATAAGGGTCTGGCAATACCAAATAAATACCTTAGCAGTGAAGTCTGATTTGCGTAATGCATTATTTCGTAATCTTATTTAAGAAGTTCGAGACCGAGGACGGGCACTTCGTTCCTCGTTTGGAGTCAGCATTCTGAAACAATGCCTAATAACACTACTGGGCGTAAGATTCGAAACATTTATTCAAACGAAATTTTAGAGCTGGTGGTTTGTTGTATCGTACTTTTCGCTGTGCCGTGAGGCCGACGCATTATATCAGCCACTGTTCTATATGTCCCTCTGGTGTATCCTTTCTTCCGCAACCATCATCTGTTACCATGTAATCCCGTTACACCATGTCCACCAGCTGTTCGAGACTTTTACATACCTGAATCCGAAGTGCTTTAATACAGGCACTAATATAGACCTTGTGCTTCATTCTTGAGAAGGCTCACATGCAGGTAATAGCGAACGAGCCTTTTGGCGTTACTGGCTTCAAAAGACTTTGCTTGATGTTTTCCCAATATATTTTCAGCAATACGAACAATTGTAGCATCGCCATTTGAAATTATTGAGATATCAGATTTATCAAAAATGCATTTCTGTTCCACTTCAATTCGTTATGCGGTCGTTTAATCTCGGTGCTGAAGTAGAATTTCCGTTATGATATATAAAACCATCTTCTGATTCCTTAGTAATCGCATAGCAAATTGCAATGCGTTGAACTGTTACTTTTGTATAATCAAGAAAGTTCTATTCTATGACAAATTCTATGAGAATTTGTCAGGCACGAATACATAGGAAATAACTGCTCTCTGCTCCTACTTTGGAGATAATATTTTGCCTCCACCATGATTCCATATATTTACTTTCTACTATATATTATAATAAAAGCGAGTGTTCTTTTGGTAAAAAATATATAACTAAACACATACAAAACGCGACACGCGCATCTTAAAAAATCAAATTTGAACAGGGCACGTTTTTACCAACGTCAAAATATAGTGTAAAAAAAAGGAATAGGGTTGTATAAGGCGAGAATTTGTTAATTGAGAATACTATCTATAACTGATTTATTAAGTTATAAAGATATTGTGGGTTATTTCAGCAGCAGTATAGCCCTGATGAAGAGTCAGCGTTATGTACTAATGCAGAAGAGAGTACTGAAGTATTTTGGTAGGGATCAAGTGCGCTTGTGATATATTCGATTTTTTGTACGACTTTTGCACACCACGAATTATTTTGGTCGACTTTAACATGCAGCAAGACGAACGGATGACCGACAAGCTCTGTGATGACTTTTGTAAGGCAGACAGCTATTTGTATGATGGTTGCTTACAGTAATAGATCCGCAACAAACCGTGTCTACCAAAAGAGCCAACGGCGATGCGACGAATCTACAAATCAATAATATTCGATTTTGCTATTTAATAAATTATAACACTAAGGCGCATAATTTGCATACTGACAGTATATTGAGCATGAGTGTTTGTAGCTTAGTTAAAATGGATACCTTCAGACCAACCAGCCTGAAACCAGTATCTGTGATAAAAGGATACTTTGGTGTATCCTAGCACATTTCACTCGACAAAGTGCCATTGTACTCTACTTTTCTTAACAGTCCTCACGTATGCACATACAAAATCAATCCTCAGTCTGAACATTAGGTTGCAATCTTGTAACAAGAGTTGCATAGCATACTATTTGACACGATGATTTTCTGACATCTCAAATGTGCGTAATTGTAAACTAAAAGCGGCCTTGAAGTGCACGGTGTTCTGCAGAAGCCTATATGGCGTCTTCGCAAAGGGTGATTCACGACAACTGACACAATCTCTATTGACGATTCATTAACGCAACCAGAGTAATTGAGAAGTGTCTGATTTGATAGGGAAGCGCGTAGTTTATCCACTAAGACCACAAAATGTATTTCTATCATCTTGTGTACTCATGTTTCTTACGTTACTTCAAGCAGCGGAAGTTATGTCGCCAATCGCCGTGCACGCTTTGATCCAACACACCTGCAACTGGTCCGTTTTCCGTGCCTGCTTTATTAGGTTAAAGTATTACACCAGTACCGATGTCAAACATGGCATTAAAAAGACCATGTTCTGGCACAAGTCGTGACCGAGCAGAGTCGGAGTATTTACTGCTAGGCAACCACTTTACAGCTACTTGCCTTTTTTCAATCCAAAAACATAGACGCCGCAAACACCACAATAATACAATAGAGACGTTTGGTTTATTTATAAAATTTCAGTGTTGATGGTAACATAACTACGATTAGTAGTAACTGCTAAAAATATTCATACCTTTTTCCGAATATTTATTTAATTTACATCTTAGCTGCATACTACAGAATGTCTCTTATAAATTCTTTTACTGAGTAAGTCTTACAGGGAGAAAGAACTTTGGACGCTTGTTTAACAATTACGTACAATCGACATTTTTACTTCAATGAAGCAGGACAAAAAGATGTTACAAGGCTGTTATTTCACAGCTCAAATGCCCTGTCTACGACCTAGCGATGCCGGCCACATCGAACGGTAACAATTGAAACAGTCTCAAACAAGATATTCAACAACAAGTCAACAGCAAATTCTAATTAATGCTGACTAGCACTTCTTCGTTTTTAGCTTCAACAGGGCCGTAAACGAATGTCGAGTCGAATGTGGACTGGTCACTCTAAAATGGCTTGGCCGACAAATTTCATCTTGTTTCCTTAAAATCACAAACTGATTACTGATGTCCTCCACAGTGCACATGCACTTCGACATGTTTCAAATGATATTCCACATGTGGCAGCTTTCACTGTTGTTGTAGCATAGTGCAGATTAAGCTCTTCATTTTATCCCTCTTTGCCATTAGCGAAATTAGACAAGGTAACATTGCTCCGACTAAGTAAAAGAACTCTTAGTGCCTCGGCTTGGCGTAGTTTTTGCCACATCACAATTACAAAATGTATTTGAATTCAAGATCCTTTAAGTTTTTAACTCCGCTTTTCGCGCTCTTCCATGCTTTTCGTGTTTCCTTTACTCACACTGAGTATTAATTTTATAAAACGAGTTTTTAGGCAACTTCCCTTGGATAGTTTCCAATTAATGAATGAATAAAATATTACTTCTCACATACCAGTTTAATAGGGTGTGTCACTCATGGCGACCAAATTTCATGTAATAAATGGTGTCATTTAAAATTATTTGCCTTTAATATTTATAACATATTGCATTAAATAACTAAAAACAATGATACTTAATAAGACTGGCTTCTTTTCTTATTATTTTATATCAAGGAGAGCTTTTTGGAGGCTTCTCATGAGCTGTCTACTCACCATTTGCATTACCATAGCCAACATATTAAATATTATTTCTTTAGGAAAATTAATTTTTATATAGTATATACCGCTGGTTGGCCTTCTTTGTGCACGGACTTACGTAAAAGAAGTATCCAAGGTATCGCTTAATATCGGAATTTTTTACTTGGGCCAGTAGTCCATTAGTTTGATACGATCACATATGAACAGGAACTAGCCATATTGTATACTATAAACTCTTATGCTATCTTTTCATAGGTTACCTCAAGAAAATATGCTATTCGTTAACAACATGATGTGTTAAACAAGTTTTTTTCTTGATGAGAACTTTGCAGGTTATATGTGAAATTCATCTGACTTAAGCGTCAGACTACAATTAAAATCATAAGAGGTTCAATATAATGGAAACTCCTCATGCGCAATTTTTGGCAGCAATTAGATTACTCGCACTACGAAAAAGGCCAATTCTAAGAATTAAAGAATTAATCCAAGCTTTATTTTAGTTACAAACGTCTTCAAACATCTAGATAATTCATAACTTATATAACTTGATGAAGAGGCTCCCTGCTCAATGTCCTTGCATCAACATTTTTCTATATCAATCTACTATCATATTCCGTGCCTTTATTTAAGGCGAAGAGTTTAGTAGCTTTGACTTTTAGCTAACTACAGGAACAAACTTGGCTCTAAAAAGCAGACTTGATAATTAGCATTGATAGCTGCTGGTCATATTTCATCTGAAACGGATATAATACTTTACGATCATGCACAATATCTTGCAAGAGACGAAGTCGTTTGGCGGTCAATCAAGTCATATTTCTTTCCAGTGAACATGCGAAGCTGTGTAGCTATAAATTTGGTAAAAAAACAATTCTTGTGTGTCATCCCCTTCACCAGGTGGCACCCATTTGCTCGACATCAGTCAAAGCGACGAGTAGTAATGGTATGGTTGACTTACCATGTAGCATGGTCTGGCAGTGTACGTTAGCTCTTACAACATATACCGAGTTACATGCATATCTAGTACGAGATGACCGTTAATAAAAAATTCAGAATTCCATAAACTTAATAGCAGCCTACCAAGCATAGAGCAACCATCAAAGAGCACCATGTGACAATGATCGCTTTAGACAACAAAGGGTGTTGCAAGTGTACATTTATAAGTAGATTGATAGTAAGATAGAAATGTAGATTGATAGTAATTCGATTCTTCCATTGGTTCTCGCGACCATCTTAACAACACCATTTTTACTGTTAAATGCTGTAGGATCCAACAAACGACTGCTTCTCATTTCAATTCGCATTGGTCAAACAAGCCGTCCTGCATTTGCTTGCATATAATTTATCTACGATTTGTGAAGCTGCTGCTTACGATGGAACGACACAATCGCCGGAGCGGCATCGGATACCTTTAAGATGTAGGCGACTGAACGATTTGTGTGAGCTGTCTCTTCCGGGACAGTACGATTTAGTAAACAAGCTGGTGCACATCTACAGTCTTCGCATATTTGACGATGCTCCAGGCACTGTTCATACTGTAAAAGCCCACCCTCAAATGGATAATATTGCACGTTCAGAGGTAATGGCAAAATCCCGTCTTGCACTACGCAAAGGACCTGCGCTTCTGCATTTGGAACGGCCGCCCCTATCTCAGTCAGATTCCGGGCGTTCATCGTTAAACGCCTAATGGTAAAAACTGACCGAACACTATATTATGCAGACTGCTACACGGTTTTCTATTAGTGCACTGTTAAGCGACCCACGCGATGGAAAAACTTTATTTATAATCGAGTGGCGAAGATTCAGCGCATTTCGTCGCCTGAATGGTATCACGTGCCACGTATCTAGAAAATTAGTTACTTTACCACAAATAGGGTGTCAGTAGCAAAGCTAAGGGCAAATTAGTAAAGGTCGCCTGATCTAGACTGGCTGGACGACGGATTGTACAAGATACTTAGACTTGCTAGCTAAAAGAGTTTCCCATTGTTCGCTACGGAACATTACCTGATCCTGGCTCCTCTTGAGCCAGTATAAGTACTTTCTCTAACGATTTCAACGGTGCATGCAGCTACAAAGTGGCGTTTTACATCTCAAACAAGGTCTTATTATTTTTCGCCATCCTTTGTCTTCTGACCCCGAAGTTCATAAAACCGCAGAGAAGAATTCAATCGAGTAGACACAGCAAAAAGGCTTCGAATAATAAGAGAGGCCTGATGCGATAAGCGACCACGTAGTAAATAGCATCTTATGTACTTTTTAATGACGAAGACCGACTCTTGCAAGCCAAAATGGGATTGACAAGAGGTCCTCAATTCAGCTATGACAAGGTAAAGCCCATAGCTTTATTAGGGAAGCCATGTCTCGCTAAGCTTCTCATCCAACATCGTCACCGCGCATTTTGTCGTGTATGCTGTTCAATCCGTTCTGACCTTCCTAAGTGGCCAAGTTTGAGCGACACTTCACTAACCCGTAGTCTGTTGACGAAGTCCAGCTATCACTCTCGGTAGATCGAGTCGCACTATTAGTTATATTCGTCTCAAACGGCATCGATTTCTGTAAAGCATTTTATACTCAATTTGGTGGGCACGGCCAAATACTACATCACGCTCATGACCTACAACGGTATTCGCGCAATTCGTCGGTAACTCGTACCAGCGGTATTTACGCCAGATGCTTACATGATTTCATGGCCCATTTTCTAAATACAACCCGGCTGAATTTACGTTCCCTAGACAAGACTCAAATATTTGTTCGGGCGGCTAGCAACATTAAATCACTGTCCAATTCGATTCGAGATCCAATGGTGCGCTAGCGTAGGATAAATTAATCGCTCAACTGTGCTTGAGTCCCATGGCAAAATGGATTAGTAGCAAGGCTGGTCGGCACGGTCAAACTAGTACTTCTCAGGGCTTCTAGGCGTAGCCTTGTTAGTTATCAAGAATTGTCCACGGTTGTTTGCAGGCTCGCCGCCGTAGTCAACAATTGAGCATTCAGCTCTATTACTATCGATGTTTATTTTTTTCTACTGTTCTCATCTTTTCAGCCCCTACATGGCAGCCCAATAGGTCTCGCGCTAGCATCGCTTATATCCCTTGACTTGCATGTTGCAAGCGGTATTAAGTCAACTACGTTCGGTACTGTTGCAGAAAATAGACTATTTCAGTTTCCTATATGCCTACTAGTAACGAGAGCACCTTTTGTAACTGTGCTTAGCAAACATGGATCACAAGGGAAAACCAAAAATCATTGAAGTTGGTAACGTCTATCTGGTTAAGGACGACAACCCTCCAAGGCTGGGATCTCGCACGCGTGGAGGATCGACCACCTCTGGTAAGACGGAGCGACCAAATGTATGCAGTAAAATTTTCTGCTGGCATATATCCCGCCATGTAACTCAACCAGTGTACTCGCTAGAAATTGTTTAGGATTATCAAGTGATATTAATGCAAATAATCGGTTCATTCATTGGGTGGAGTAGCATTGTTTGCTTCTACTCTAAGGTGGACTACTGAAAATGATAGACTCTAGGCAAACATTAGAATAATATTTCTACTATAATAGAGAATATTTTGTTTTGAAACCAAACTCTAACTATCGGTCGGATCATACTATCTTTTTCATGAGCATGCTAGGCTTTGCGTGTAGTTTTTATGTAGAACAATTCTTGTGCGCCATCGCCTACATCTCATCTCTTTCTTTAAAACCAGTTAGAATGACAAGCAGTGGAGGTGTGACCGACCTAACATGTGACACGGTTTAAAAATGTATGTTAACTCCGACGGTAGAGATAAGTGTACAGAATATGAGCAAACTACTAAAAACGAATTTATAATTGAATAGAAATCTACGTCTTATAAAACGACCACTAATAAGCGGTATATGGTAATGATCGATTTAGGCGCTAAAACGTGTTACAAGTATATACTCCTATTCAAGTTATTGCTGCCTTTACACTCACATTAAATTGAATCGTCCACTGGTTGTTTCCGAGCGAAGAGCAGCCCTCTTAATGACACTACTTTTACAGTTATACACTGTAGTTTTATTCGCTAGATTGGCAGTGATATGTTTTGATCACGTCCGATCTGTTTTCAAATTTTAACAGCAGGTAATCTATTAACCTTCAAGTTTCCACGAACACTGAGTTCGTTGCTGCAATGTCCGTCCTATCTACTCAGGTAAATCAAAGGTTGTGGTTGGCCTACAGATTTTATGTATAGCGCCGACTGGATTATCACAGCATTCCCCCGAGGGCCAACTCTGATGTAAAGTAGGAGACGTTTTGCGGAATTCTGCAATCATCAGCAGATCTTTTTTTGCGTTAAAACGCATCGAAATCTAGAAATCAAAGAAAAGAAATTGCTATTATCAGTGAGAATAAGAGGAGCACACTAGCTTCAACATAGTGCGCTAATTCGTCTACATACCCATCTTAAAAACAGACAACAAGTGTCTCTGAGACGCACACATCTTTTACAAGTAGGACCCCGAATAACGGCAGACCTGGTACTCTTCATGTGAGAACGCCCGTTCCCGAGAAATTAACAGCTCTCATCTTGACGGTCAAACACAAGTAACCTGCAAGCCTGAAGTAATTATGGCTTTCGTATGGTTGCATAAAACAAGTACATCTATTTCAAACTTAGAATCTCACATGGAAGAGTTAATATATCAATAATGTAAAAACATATAAACATATCATGGATAACACTATTAAGCTAGTTTAAGGGTAACTCCGTTGTTAAATAGACTTTGGTTTGTCGTTTATTTTTATGGTAATTAACCTCTCCTTTGGTATGCTTTTAATCTGTATCCGTCTTAGTGACAAGCCGACACAATTCTTGAGGTTTCAAGATAGCAAATGATTACCCACTGGAAATAGATATAATAACAATAACAATCAAAAGGAATTTTATAATTACATTTGCCGCTACATTCGGTACAGTTCGAAATAAGGCGCAGCTAACAGCTTTCATACTTACATGAAACGTATGTCGCCGTAAAACTTATGTAAGCATTAAAGTCTATTATCTTTTCTACATGGCCCATATACATATCTTCGGTGCATAAGCTGAGTTCTATTTTCTTGGTCCTGTTTAAATTCAGATGAAGAATTCTAGAAACTGTTTATATACTTTCCTGTTAATATACTGTTTCCGAACTGGCGTCATTCGGACACATTCAAAAAGGTTATGTTCTTCATGCTTTACTTCTAGAATTGATTGATTTAGTTTGTGGCGGAACCGACGAAAACGAATTTTGCTTTCGATGTTGTTACGTAATAACATCTTAGTTGAAGATATCTAAATTATTCAGTTTTCCTTTTTCCAGTGATCTATATTACTGCAATAAACTTCTTGACATTCTTGTTGAAACCAATACTCTAAGCACGAGGCCAAAAGCATTTCTAGACTCTAGCGTTCTCAACTTAGAACATGCAACTTGGGATGAAACTGATTTGCTGGAGGTAAAGAAATTCACAGAGGCAGTACGAAGAGTATGTCACCGTCAGTGAGTTTAATTAGAATTTAGAGAGCTTGATGAAATTTATAACGGTTATTTAAGCGTTACAAGGAAACGGTTTGTAATGGAGGATTCGCTTGCAACTTTCCCACGCTGGTCATTTGAACAATAAACTGCATTAAAAGATATTTTGTACAAACCTACGCTAATATCCAGAAGTTTAATCACAGTAACCGAGGTGCTGGGCAAAATACACCGATGCCTTCAAGTTTACGTCAGCCTGTTGAATTGTGTAAAACATTATCCTAGTTCAACCACAAGATTAGTGAAACTCCGGAGATGATACCCTTAATTGCATACAAAAAGTTGCGATACTCTGTACGCCCTTTGTCTCTGGCGTACACACAGTCAGGAGATAAGTAGCGTGTTCCTGATTTACTCCGTCAAACATAGTCGGCTTAATGAGCAGAAAATAAATCTTAAGAATTCAGAAACTAAGCACACAGTTTTGCTTACAGCGGTGATCCATAAGCAATTTGGAAATGTTATCTGTTCAGCTTCAGGTTAATAATTGATGAGAATGGAAACTTCTTTGGTCGAAATATGATGGAAGGTGAGGGAACATTCCATGTTGGTTAAGACCTGAATAACTACAGTATTAAGATTGGTAGACAAATAAACACAGACCTGGCTTATATCACTGGAATATGTCAAAAGCTTTATGATGAGTCCGCAATAGTGATGCCGCTGACGAGAGGGAGTGACAACCCTGAGGGCAGCATTCAGTAGCGCCTGATGTCGGATGCAATTATAGCCAACATCCTACACCACTGTATGATATGATCTAATAAGAAGGAATTGCGTCACCATTAAAGTCACTTGCAAATTAGAGGCATGCCAGGTAATTTTAGGCATAGTTCTCAATAATCTCATTGTTTACATTATATGGTGCGATAATTTTGAAAGCTACAAGCGAACGTCCAGACTATACAACATTACAAATGATAAGAACCGTAAGTATTTATGTAAAATGGAGTGCAAGCAGAGTTCTAATATTACAGCTAATGGCGAGTGGTTTGCAACGGGACATTACAGAAGATTCTATATTTATTAATTTGAATTACTGCACCAATGTCACGTGGGAGCTCTAGAACAACCTATATTCAGATGGTCATTACCGGTGTACTATACTGAACTGTCCATGTGTAGGGTGCAGTGGCTATGTATGTGCTTATCAAACTTAGAAACACACAAAATGCTCTAATTTCGCAACCGGGCATAGCCGCAGTTTGGTTCGTGTTGGAAGAAGTCGTTTGAATCGTTTGAAGCAATATTTAGCAGCTTTGCCAGAACAAATTTCAACCAAAATCTGAGTTAGAATCTGAAAGATCTGAATAAGATACAGTATTTGATATATTTCCTTATAATACGTCGATACGTAATCCTTCGGTACGTCGATGTATAATCCTGCTACCACATTTCCATCCCACAACCTTTCGCCTAACTTTATTAGTGACCGGCCAAACGCTGTCTCTATCAAAAACTCTTTCTGAAAGTTAAACTTATGTAAGGCAAACAAAACATTCGAGTCGTTCGTTATGTTCGAAAGTTTTCGGAATCAGAAAAACCAGAATCAGGAAAAGAACAGCATTAGCAATCAAACAGTAATAATCATATATAATAATTTTTAAATTTAAAAGGGTAGAGAGTTTAGAAAACGTTCCAGCTATTTGACATGTTTTTGTACAGAAAAATTAAATAATCTGAAACATGCTTAATACCTTCTACTTGTTATGGTATTTCTTATCTGGATTTTATATCTAATTAGACAATCATTGCATGAAAAATAATTTGATCTTCTGGACAAAATATATTAGTGGGTTTATCGGGAGAATTAAAATTTCCGTCTGTTTTAAAAGCAAGCCGGAAATACTTACCAAATTTTTAAACTTCTAAGTAAGGTTTCTTAAATTTACCACCTCATTTATTAGGCGTATCAATAAGCTGCAACATAATCATAGCCGGCAGTGATAATAATTTACTTCATTAACAAATGAATAATAATGTTGGTATCAGTGATCAACAGCAAGCGAATCAGGTGGTGTTAAAAAATTAAAAATTTAAACAGGAGCGTTTGTTTCTTGGCGTTTCACGAAAACTCAATTATAGTTGCATATTCTCCTAAAATACCCACTGAAGTTATAAATACTTAAAAGTAATTTTTTTTTAGAGGAAAAGATCATGCATTAGAAAAATAACGCTCATGCCAAATGGTTGCAATGTGATCAACAAGTCAAGAAATGTATAAATAATAAAATGACATTCAATTATTCAAGTATGAACACTGCCTGCTTATGTGTTGAAGACTAAAAAAAAGTCGTGAAAAAGAGTCTAGTAAACTGCGCCTAAACAAACCGTCGCTCAAATGCTAAAATAACTCTGTGACGCAGTCTTTTAGATGCTTACTCAAAATGTTCTTATATTTTGGTAGACATAATTAACCTTTGCTTGGAAACCAAAGTAGTAGAATTGCTATCCGCTGTCTCAATTGGAGGTTCTGTTTTTGAAGCTAGAAAGCTTGTATATTAACTCTTGACGAAAAGTCGATTCATTAATATGAAGAAGTTAATTAAGTTAAAATTGCCTGTTCCGAATTAGTGAAAATGAAACTTCGGGTCACAAATACAAACGGCAACTTTTTATCGGCTGCCAATTTGGATGTAAATGATGAAAAACAAAATGGTTTATTGGGGCTTATTATCTACGTTACATATACCGGAAACGGATTGTTATTGCAGGCACTATGATAACAGCTAAAACAAGGCTAAAATGCTCATCGATCGAAAAGCTAGGATGATCATCTAGCACCTTAGTTGTGTGTAGGTATATTCAAACATTGATACGTCAAACGAAGCAACACCTGTTAATTATGGCGGCAACAAACAAAAATAACATCTTTATATAACACTGAATTATTATTAATAAAAGATAGCACAGATAATCAAGAAAAGATGATCTATGCTGTGTTCTTTTAATTTGTCATTAGTGCAATTAAAAGATCATGGGATGTCTTTTTATGTGCTACAAAGAAAATTAGTCTCAATTGAAGGCTATGAAAAAAGAAATAGAAATATACAGCGAACGGAATGGTATTTCGGCAAAACCGAGAATGCGTAGAGAAATGGTATACTGGGCACTCATTCAGGCAGTTATGTAATATTTTTTATAATAAAGTGCCGACGAATTAAGTGCAGAATATGCGCGGACGCTGAAGCCAGAAAAAATAAAATAAAGATTTATTAGATAACTTATTATGGATATATTAGATAACATAACGATATATTGAGAAAAATATATTTGGAAAAACTCAGTAAAATTGGTTGCCAATATTTAATTTTTTTTTCTGCCATTTAAGATGAACTGTTTTAGCGAGTATCCATAAAATTCTTTTGGGTTCTCGGTATATCAAAAAACTTCGCAGTGTCCGTACAAACATATCAGGCCAATGCCTCGGTCCTTGGATTAGTCCGCCAACCCATTGGTATAAACTAAAATATAATCTGGAAGGAGACACTGTGAAAATTTCCAGAATATACTAAAGAAAGAAGTGAGGATTTTACGTATTCGATATGCAGATACAGCAGCATCGTGCCGCATGGAGAATATTAACATATTTTGGTAAATAGGTTATCCAACTTCCGTAATCTACCTTTGATCAAGTGTCAACTAGGTTTTAGTGGTAAATGAAATAAAATACTCCCATTCTTCACGCAACTATAATAACTATAATAACAAGTTTAAATGTTCGGCATTAAACAAGACAAAAGTTCAGATAAAATGAAAGTATTTCCGGAGAAGATAATAAGTGAATTGATTTGGTACTCAATGAATAAACCAAAATTTTCGACACTTCCGTAATATTTAATTGGCTTTAACTGGTGTATGATTGCGTATTTTATTTGTGTGACATACGAGACGATGATACAATAGGTGTATCGTTCGTATTCGCGAAGGCTCACATAACTCTACTGAGCTTAAAGAAAACCATTATTAGCTCATCATTAAAGAAAAAGAAACCCAATTTATGTTTTTGCAAAAAATGAGATTGAACTTACTTCAAAGCGCTAACAAATTGGCGCGAACGTCCAGTGCAAACACTTAAAGGAAACTAAGGGGTTTAACATTTTCATTTAGAGAATTCATACGTTTTTCGAGATGTTAATTAGGCGCCTGCTGAGGTATGTAGCACCATATGACAATTAGCTTTTAACATGAGGCCTAACGGATCCGGGTGACAAGAAATAGCCGTAACTAAAGATAAACCGGATATTCAAAGGTAGAGCAACTATTTTTTTTCCTAAATGTTTGCAACAATAATTGCATCTGGAGGGGATTTAAGAAAGGCTTTGGATATTTAAGGTCACCATATATGCGAAATCAGAGCTCACTAAAAAATAGAAAAAGCAGCATTCTCAGTTCATCGTTGCGATAGCTTAGTGGGTGACATATTCGTCTGCTAATCTTAGGGGTACATTGTGGTCTGTGTTCAAAGCACAGACACACTTCGTTTCGTGTTGGGGTTCGAACGTCTAATGGAATGCCTAACGGCAATACTGGATGTAAACTCGAAACATAGAGCGAGGAACTCAGTCCGAACAGAGTATACCAGCTAAAATAATCTATGCTCTGCCGGGAAGGGGACTTTTCGTCTTTCCTCTACAGTATTAAAACAGAATCTGAAAAAATTCATAGGTGACTTAGCCCCATAACTTATCCTTAAAATATAGGTCACTCATATTGAGTCAACCATATTTATCTAGTTAATAACTTGTCTGTCGGATTATTTAAGTACTGAAAGCGTCAATTATATAATCGGAAGTGCATTAAACGCCGAAAATTTTAAGTCGAGACTGGGTTCTGTTCTCAAGCTGCCACCTTGCCACGCACTACGTTGATTTTTAGATATGCTAGGAGCCTATACAGTATACCTGCTGAATAAAATGAAGTGTAAATGAAGTACTTTTCTATAAGAAATCTTTAAAAATTATGTAAGGGAAGAATGAAGCCAAATTGATTCAATTCAATAACCAAACATTTTATGGAAAAAAAATAGAAAATAGTACTTCTTGAAACAGTTTTTAGTTGTTAACTGGTTGTACTACGTAGCAGAGTCGTCTGAATTGCTAATGCTCATCTTTTTGAGGGCGTTGCCATGATAATCATGAACGTGCTCCCACCACTAGTTCAAATTTTAATTCTGGAATATGGTTAGGCAACCATACGGTGACCATGTCGTTTCATTTCTGCAGAGGTAAGGCCAGGTAATTCCAGTGCGCGCAGGTTATTGCTAATACATACACAAGAAATAATTTTAAAAAATTAATGAAATCAGCAACTTAACGGAGAACGGTAGTTACGATGCTCCTCAAAGTAAAGATGAAGCTTTGCATACTTACCTCTATATATTTATAAAAATGATAACAGAAACCCTAAAAACTAGATATGTCAAGTTTTAAACAAAATCTGTAGTGTAAATACGCACTTAGTAAACTCCATGTGAAAAAAATAGTGTGATTCTGAATCAAAGGATACGATGCTGAGGGCCACAAAATAGGAAGTTGAGAGGAATAATTGGCTCTTACATTCGTAAGTTTCCTAGATTGGAAGAACCTTTTGATAGCATGAATAAACAAAAATTTGTTAACAAGTTTAATTTAATGCCTGTGAAATGATTAAAGCATACTTAATAGGTGAAAAAGGTTACGATTAAAGACAAGGTGAGTTTAGTCATAGAAATTGGTTGGGGCGTGCTCCAAGAATCGGTGCTAGGGTTAACACTGTTTAATGTGTATATTAACAACCTACATGATTTGTGTGTGGTTAAAAGTCATTCGATTTCATGACGATGCTAGTACCTTATTGT